GGTGATCTCCGAAATAGCTATCACTTCTACCATTTTTTCAAATTATTGTTGCTTTTCCACAATAAATTTTCATTTAAAAAATGGCCCATAGCTCATTATAAAATTGTTGAATATAATTGTTAAAAGGCCAAAAAATAACAAAAAACAAATAACTTAAGGACGAGCACACCTAAAAGTTAAGCATTCTAAAAATAGAATTATTAGCACAAACCAACAAAACCAACAACCACATGATCAAGTGAATTGCAGCGGAATAGCTGCGCTTGATTGTGTTGGCATAACAAAAATGAAAATAGTGGAAATAAGCAAACGATAATTTACAAGGCGTCTTAGCACGGTGCATAGGCAACTGGCTGAGTCAGTGGATCGTCGGTTCGAATCCTACTGAAAGAAGTCTGATGAGGAAATGTGGTGATTTCCGAAATAGCTATCACTTCTACCATTTTTTCAAATTATTGTTGCTTTTCCACAATAAATTTTCATTTAAAAAATGGCCTCGAGCTCATTATAAAATTGTTGAATATGATAAGTAGTAATATTAATGATAATAACAATAATGATGGTTATAATAATACAATTAATAATAATAATAGTAATAGAACCAAATGAATTTAATTCATTTTTAATTTTGTACATATTCAATTATAATAAACCTACCACCACAATGTTTTTTCAACTTTATATACTAACTAAATACTTAGCTTTTTTGTACATACCAAACTAATTATTTATTTGAAAAGAAGGAACACTGAATTACATGTGCATTAAAATTTATTTAAAACGAAAATATTGTTTTTTTAATTAATGGTTAAAATACGTGTTTACTATTTGTAATCGTATAGATCTGGCTTGGTTTTGTATTGCAGTCTGACCCATTGTAGAACCTTCTTCACGTATTTCACTCTCATCAGTTAAGGCTTCAATTATCGGAACGTTTGCTTTTATTAAAATATTGTGCAACACAATGCATGCATTAATTATTTTCCCTGACTTTTCTGGCGTATAGTATAAACACCTTTCGTAAGAAAGACAACAAAACCGTGCTTTCAATACTCCTATACAACGTTCAACAATACATCGATTCTTTTTATGTGCTATGCAGCGTTGCCGCTTTGGTCCAATTGGACCAAAATTGGTAGCTTCATTCTCCGTTGGTAGCTTGGTTGGTTTGATTAAGCTTTTGGTAGGCAAATATATTCTGAATATACAACCAAATTGAACATTAAAATTTGTTCGCTTAATTTGCGTTTACACGTTCAAAACAATGCTTTCAATTTGCTAACACGTATAAGATTTCTTTTTTTTTCTATATTTTA